AAACAAAAATCCTCACAACTGGACCAATAAGCAACATCATGATAAACGGAGAAAAGATTGATGTTGTCAAGGATTTCATTTTACTTGGATCCACAACCAACACCCATGGAAGCAGCAGTCAAGAAATCAAACAACATATTGCATTGGCAAATCTGCTGCAAAAGACCTCTCTAAAGTGTTAAAAAGCAATGATATCACCTTGAAGACTAAGGTGCGCCTGACCCAAGCCATGGTATTTTCAATCACATCATATGCATGTGAAAGCTGGACAATGAATAAGGAAGACCGAAGAAGAATTGATGCCTTTGAATTGTGGTGTTGGTGAAGAATACTGAATATACCATAGACCGTCAAAAGAACAAACAAATCTGTCTTGGAAGAGGTACAGCCAGAATGCTCTTTAGAAGCAAGGACGGCAAGATTACGTCTCACATACTTTGGACATGTTATCAGGAGGGATCAGCCCCTGGAGAAGGACATCATGCTTGGTAAAATAGAGGGTCAGCAAAAAAGAGGAAGACCCTCAACAAGATGGACTGACACTGGCTGCAACAATGGGCTCAAGCATAACAACGATTGTGAGGATGGCACAGGACCAGGCAGGGTTTTGTTCTGTTGTACACAGGGTTGCTATGAATTGGAAAGGACTCGACGGCACCTAACAACAACAACAACAACAACAACAATCTTTGGCTGAAGGGTGAACCTCAGGAGTGACTTCAGCACTGAGTTAAAAGGGGGTCCAGAGGCCATACTCTCAGGGTTCCTCCAGTGTCCGTCAGACCGGTAAGTCTTGCCTTTTTTTGTGAGTTAGAATTTTGTTCTACATTTTTTTCCAGCTCTGTCCAGAACCCTCTATTGTGATCCCTGTCAGAGCAGTTGGTGGTGGTAGGTGGGCACATCTAGTGGTGCTGGACTCAGTCTGACAGAGGCTGTGGTAGTTGTGGTCCATTAATCCTTTGGACTAGTCTTTCCCTTGTGTCTGGTTCTCTTCATTCTCCCTTGCTCCAGACAGGGTGGGTCCAGCGGAGTATCTTAGATGGCCACTCACAAGCTTTTAAGGCTCCAGATGCTACTCACAACAGTAAGATGTGGAACATTTTCCTTCTAAACTATGTTATGTCAATTGAGCAAGCTGTCCCCTGACACCCTGGTCCCTAACCCTCAGCCCAGTAACTTGGTTCCTACGGGAGTTTAGATGTGTCTATGGAGCTTCTATGACTTTGCCAAGGCTGTAAATCTTTATGGAAGCAGACTGGCACATATTTCTCCCGTGGAGCGGCTGGTGGATTTGAACAGCCAACCTTCCGGTTAGCAGCCGGGTACTTTAACCACTGCACCACCAGAGCTCCTCCTTGACCCATGGAGGCTCTCAAATACGAAAGTGTTAGTTTTAACTTGCCAAATGATCTCTCACAGCTGTCGATGGAAACTGCGATGGTTAATAGAAACTGCTCAGTGCCATACCTTAGATATGCCTCTGCAAGGTGGTGGGGGGCGGGCGCAGAGGAAAAAAGAAAACGGTAAACCAGGTGCCTTCCAGTGGAGTCCAACTCAGGGACCTTATGTGGGTCAGAGTAGAACTGTGCACCAAAGGGTTTGCAATGGCTGATTTTTTGGAAGTAGGTATTCAGGCTTTTCTTCTGAGGCACCTCTGGGTGGACTCAAACCTCCAACCTTTTGGTTAGCAGCCCAGCACCTTAACCGTGTGCATCACCCAAGGACTCCAGAGAGGGGAGAATACTGGGAGAATTCCCAGCAGGGTTAACAGCTGCTCAAAGGTGTAAGTCTGAAACAATGATGTAGGACGCACTCCTTCACACAAAACTTTGCCTCAACTTCAGCAAATTGTGACTCAGTAGCTTCAATTTCTGAGCCTCTTGGACATACTGCTTTTTTATTCATAAGGTATTCTTCCATAGACAAGGAAGCCAGTGGCATTTTCAGATCCCAATCCCACTGAAATTTCCTGTGACCAGTGTCCCAAGTAGAGATGACCATACCACATATGTTACTTTAGGAAAAGATTTTATCGTAAGTCTTTTTGGAGAGAAAAAAATAGCTAAAATTTATGTAACCCTTACTATATATGCCAGACACATTCTAAACGCATCTCCCCCCCCCCATATATATTACATATTGTATATAATTCTTACAACAGAACTACTTAGGTTCTGTTAGTAATAAATTCCATTTTACTGATGGGGAAACGGAGACACAGAGAGGCGAGCTAACTTGCCTGTACAGCTAGTCATGGGTGGAACTGGGATTCAAATTCAGGCAGTCTGATTTCAGAGTCCCACCTTTGAATGTGCACGCAGACTAAACAACAAGAAACTAAAACAAAACAAAAAACCCAAAGCGCGCAAGCGTGCACACAAACCCTGAGCATCTAAAAGAATTAATACAATCGATAGCTTGCTGTACAGCGACATTATCCTGCCTAGTTTTAAATGCCTTCCATAGTAAGGCTCTGCCTCACGCACAATTTAAAAAATTTAACAAAACACCACTAACAACAAAACTACGAGCTATACAGTTTCAGAACAGCATTGCATTGTGCTTTGTATTGCTTGCTTTTATAAAGTGGAGTAAGAAAATCCCACAAAAATGGTCTTTCAAAACACTCGCAGTACCTTCCTTGGTAATGTGAAAGAAACCTTAATCAGTCTGAGCGGATATGAACAGCGGACGTGTGGGGAAAGGGTTAAGATTCTGTGTTGAAACTTGGTCGAGTTTCAGAAAGTTCTCTGGGGAGCCCAACTGCTGTGTCCCTTCTTGGACCTTGCCTGCGAGTCCGACGGTAACAGGATGCTCGAGGCGCTCGCCCCTTGCATTGTGCGATTGAGAAGAACCAATAAGGAAAGACTGAAAAATCGGGTGCAGTAAACCCGAAAAGCGGGCGAGGAGGCCCGCAGGAAGAGAGGGGGAGGAGAGAGGGAGGAGCGGGGAGGGCCGAGCGGGGAGGAGGGCCGGCGCCGAGCTCAGAGCGGCGGGCGCGCCTGACAGACGCGGAGAGACTGAGCGCGCGAGCCTCGGCGGAGAGGGCCCGGCGACGGAAGGCGGCGCCGGAGGGCGCGAGGCGGGGGTCTGCAGGGCCGCCGCGCGTGACGTAGCGCCAAGCGGGGCGTTATCAGCTGCGGGGTCGCC